CCCAAATATGAGTGAGGGGTGCTAATTGCTCAAGTTTGCCGTTAATTTCGGATAAAGAGTTTTGTAGCTGTCGAATGTCATTACTATATCAGTATTTTGGTGTGTATGAGGTGGACCATTGGACACTTTAGTTTTTGTAATTTTAGATTTAGGCCTTGGTAGAACATACTGTCTAGTAGACTGTGCTGATTTTTCGATGCACGTAGGTATAGTGTCTTGTATGTCAACCAGTCTTACCGTTGGCATACTGCACGTAGAGATAGTGAGGCTGCGACATGGAGAATCTGGTGATGAGAGACATTTGTGTACAATACACATATTTTTCAGTAGTTAAAGGTTTGACATTGTCAAGCACTGAGTCGTCAGTTGTAGGGGTTACAGATTTGGACCTCTTATTTGGCTTAGAAGTTGATGAAATTTCTCTTTTACTGGAGTCATTGGACATGATATGAAAATAAGTGAGCACAGTGCTCGTTAAATTAAATATAATATCTGAGTATTAGTTGTTATTAAGTATTAACCTGGTTAATACTAGGATTAGAGACTATGAGTATATAATAAATTGCGGATCTGTTTACGACTTATGTCCGCAATAGGTACAATACGAACTGGTAATTGTCCGTCGAATAAAAATAAGTTTTTTCCTTATTTTTCGGGGTAAGATGTACCCGATGTACAGGATAGGACGATAATCACAGTATAATACACCCTACAAAAGAACAAGTCGAAGAATTCCTAAACCACGTGAAAAATTGTTACCACATTCAAAGTTCGCGCGGTGTTCATTGAAGAGGATGAAGGATCCACGAATTCTCCTGGAAGTCGAAGTGTCGTTCCATAAACGAGTTGAGCCGCAGTGTATCCAATGTGAGCTTTCACTGCATTGCGAATACCTAGTAAGACGAGTGGAAGAGCGTCGGTCCACTGTGAAACGTTAGCAGCTGATAGTGAAGCTTTTAGTTGTTGGTTAAAACGTTCTACCAACCCGTTTGCTTGGGGTGGTAGGCGGTCGTTCGGAAGCGAGTGATTCACAAAAGTGTGGTCAGACGACAAAAACGTTCAGATTCAAACTGACGCCCGCGGTCTGTAGTGATGGTTGAAGGGCAGCAGAAGTTTGCTACCCATCGTTCGACGAAGGTGCGGGCCACTGTTTCAGCATTGATGTCCTTGATAGATACTGCCTCTGGTCATCGAGTGAAACGGTCTACGCAGGTTGAGAGGCAAGAGTATCCGTTTGAATCTGGTAAAGGTCCTACCAAATCCATGGTCGAAACGTGCATCGGGAGTTTTAAATGAGCCTAAGGGACATTTATTGTATCTGATGACCTAAGATTTTTGGCAGCTTACATAGGAGCGTGCCTACTCCCCCACGTCTTTATTCATGCCAGGCCAGCAAAACCGTTCTGCTATAAGCTTGATGGTTGCACGAACACCTGGATGAGAAAGTTTGTGCCATGTGTTGAAGAAATTGCGTCGACAATGTTTCGGCACGATTGGGCGATCCCTACCTGTAGATGTGTCACAAAGTAAGGTTTCCTTACCTGTTCCCATCTGTTTGATGCGTAGTTTAAGGGTTGTAGACGATAACTCGTGCTGAAGATCAGTGTCTTCTTTTTGAAGCTCGGCGAGTTTAAGAAGGTCGATTCCGTAGAAACTGTTCAAGGAAGTTATGCGAGATAAGGCGTCTGCAACTACATTGTTTGCTTTAGAGATGTGTTGAATATCTGAAGTAAACTGCGAAATGTAGTCCAGTTGTTGAGACTCACGTGGAGAGTACTTGTCTGAAGTAGAGTTTAGAGAGTGGTGAGTGGTTTACGACCTTCGATATAGTGTTGAAAATGTCGTACAGCACAATACATAGCTAGGAGTTCCCTACCGAATGTGTTGTACCTCGATTCGGTGTCTAGCAACCGTCTAGAGAAACATGCCAAAGGTTGCCAGGAGTTGTTAACCCATTGTTATAAGACTCCTCCGATTGCTGAGTCGGATGCGTCTACTGCGATGCTAATGGGTGTTTGAGTGTCCTGATATGCTAGCATTGTTGCTTTAGCGATGAGTTCCTTAATTGTGGAGAATGCTTTACGTGCGGTGTCGTCCAAATTAATGGATTTAGCATTTCCACGAAGTTCGTCGGTAAGAGGTTTCATGAGTAAAGCAGATTTAGGTACGAATCGTCCATAGAAACTTACAAGGCCGTTAAACGTCCGTAGTTGCTTGATCGTGGTCGGTTCTGGGTAGTCCAGAATTGCCACCACTTTGGTCCTAAGGGGTCGAATGCCTTGAGCATCTATAGTGCGTCCTTGGAAGTTTAATGAGCTGGTTCCGAATTGACATTTCTGAACTTTTACAGTAATGCCGTGTTTTTGTAGTCGTTTGAAAACAAGGTCCAGATGCTTGAGATGTGTTTCTCTGTCCAGACTTGCGATTAGGCAGTCGTCAACATACGCATGTACGAAGTTGAGACCTCGAAAAACGTCGTCTATGAATCTTTGGAATGTTTGAGCAGCGTTTCTTAGACCGAAAGGCATTCGCAAAAATTCATAGAGTCCGAAGGGAGTTATGATGGCTGTTTTGGGTATGTCGTCAATAGCCATAGGAATTTGGTTATACGCTTTAACTAAATCGATTTTCGAAAAGACAGTTGTACCTTTCAAGGTAGCTGTCAAATCGTGAATGTGAGACAACGGGTAACGATCGGGAATGGTTTTCGCGTTCAATCGCTGATAGTCACCAGTTGGACGCCAATCGTTGCTGTCCCTTTTAGGGACCATGTGCAACGGAGATGCATATGGACTATTTGATTGTCGTATGATTCCTAAGTCTATCATATGGTCAAACTCGTTTTTTGCCAACCTCAGCTTTTCGGGAGCTAGTCGTCGTGCTTTAGAGAATACAGGTGGTGCTGTAGTCGTGATGTGATGTGTAACGTTGCTGGTTACACACGGTAGTTTCGGTTGAGTTTGTTGTATCCCAGGGTACTTATCGAGTGGTGGTTGATAAAATGGGTCTATCATATGCTTAATTGTGACTGGGGATAGTCTGCAACCAGGGAAGGAAGTTACGCAAACGGATAAGTTAGTGTTTCCGTCTACTAGCCTCCGTGTCAATGATTAGATTATGCTGTTGTAGAAGGTCCATACCAATGATTGGTATAGAAACATCTGCAACAACGAAGATCCAGTGAATGGGTTTGCGTAAACACACGTTAATGTAAACGTACCTTTTGCCATACGTAGCAATAGGTTTTCCGTTTTCCGCCTGTAAGTTTAGGGTCGATTCGTGAAGTCGGTCGTTGGAATTCGCTGGGAGAACGCTAACTTCTGCGCCAGTATCGACGAGGTAGCGAACTCTCGTTATCACATCTGTGACGTACAACGGACGGCTATGTTCGCCGGCTACGGTTGCCGTTAACGCGTGCCGGCTTGGAAGTTTCCCGAATCAGTCGGATTTGAGTTGGTAAAATTGCAGGGTTTTCGGCAATTTCTGGAAGACTTTCCATATTGGTTATGATACCAGCACCAGTCGGGGTTATCCATCTCTCGTGGTCTAGAGACAGATCGCTTACGTGAAATGCTTCTACGTGGGGTGTGCGATCTCTTACGGTCGTTACGAAAATTAAGATAACGCCTAAGTGTATAACATAACTCGGTTATGTCATTCTGAGTCGTTTGGGGCTTTTCTTTGATTGAAAATGCCTCGGTAGTAGAAGATTTCGTAATTTCCAAAATACGATCTGCAGATGCATCTAGCTCGTCTAAGGCGTTGTTCTGAAACGAGACCAGAACCGCTTGCACCTGTTGGGGAAGTTTTGACAAGAAGAGTTGTTTGAACAGACCTTCGTCGAAAGTTCTTGGGCCTTTAAACTCTCTCATCCGTTGCAACATGTCCGTCGCAGAACCGTGCTGCAGGTCTATGTTATTAAAGAGTTGATTTAACCTTTGTCTATCGGTTAGGTCTCCTCGTTTAAGAATCGAACGCTTTAAGGTTTCGTAAGGTTCAGAAACATTACTAGTAAACATACTAGGTGTTATGTTCCTGTGGTAGTGCGTTGACTATTGCGAGGAATTGTGCACGTGTGTCGATCACGCCGTGCTCGTGGAAGTGGGCTTCTGCGTAGCAGAACCAGGCTTCGATATTGTCGGGCCAGAAGGGCATGAGCTGGAACGAGGGCGGGGACATGGTCTTAATCTTAAATACCTTAGGGGTCTGTTCGGTCATAGGGGAATATTAAGTGCGAGAATACGAGGGAAAAATATAGATATCCTGAGACACGGGGAAAAAATATCACAATGTATAAAAATTAAAAAAGGCAATAATATATAAAAATCCCAAAAAGGGACAGACTCACAGTCGCAATTAGGTGTACCAGATCACGTCGGTCTCACCAGTAAAAATGACACAGGTATTCAGTGTTCGACAACGCTTTTACCAGCGACATCTAATATAATTTGTACTCACCGAGAGAAATCAAAAGACAGAGTCGAGGAGATCGGAAGAGTGTATTTGGCGATAACCAATATATCGGAATTCTCTTATCTAATCTGGCTAGCGATTGCAGTAAATGTTGAGCACAGCGTTCCCACGCGTGATCTGGTGCGGATGCATGACCGAGCGCCTTCAGCTAGATGAGTCCACTGAAACATAAGGTCGGCATCCAATGTCGAAAACTTACAGAGTTATTTATTTTGGGGATTTATTTACCGCTACAGACTGTAGACACAGCTTCTACTCCTTAAGAGTTGTCAACTGCTGGAATTCGCTGCCAATTGAGCTAGTCCAAGTGACTTCCAGGGGGTCCTTTATTAAGAAACTTGGTCAATTCTTAAGGACTAAGGATAACGTCTTATTATGATTTACCAATTTCTTTTTTCCTCTATTATCGTTAATATATCAGGGTTCCTGCCTGGAGGTATTGTTGATCCACTTCTACTAGACACGGAAGCCCGTTGAGCGAAAGCTTCTTCTATTCCGTGCACAATCATTTGAAGCATTTAAATTCCAACAATTCCGCGGCACTTGTGACCCATGACGCTCCTTCCAATGGAAAATGGGGAAGGCATTCTTTGCGCATTAAAGTGTATGGTCTTCATTTATTAAACCCAAAAATCATAGGTTTTGAGCAGGAAAAGCCTCTGTCTATACCATCAATTCTCGAAGATTACATCAAACAGATATCCAGAAATGGACAAACAAGGTAATTCCATCACCTGTCAGTTTAACTTATTAGGCTTCCTTGGATATATGTAAAACCATTGCTACTACATAAGTACAACAAAGTGGTCGACTCATTCATATCGGAAGGGAGTGGTTTAGATTACTCAATGTTAGCTACCCCACCTCACTTAAGTGAACTTCGGCAGCGAGTGTTCAATACTCTCAAAAGACTTGATGGGTAAGTTATTATTATAGAAGGATTTTCTTGTCAGAATACCTTTTACTATTCAGAGAATTTGCGAACTATTTGATAGTCCTACTCGTCACTACCAAAGAGTGGATAAGTTCCTGAGAGGACTAGAGAAGGTAATACATGTACATTGAATTCATTAGTTGCAGGTTTGTATGGTGGTATCCACAGTAGATCCTTATGGAAAGTAAGTTCACGTGTGACTTTTACATTATATCAATATTTTTGACAATACATTGCGTTCGGAGTTGTCCAAGTCATCATATCAGAGGCTTGCGTGCTAGGTTGTGCTCTGTTGAATGCTTTTCCAGCTTATGTTGTCATACCTCTATTAACAAACAAGGTAAAGTCAGCTATACTGTTGGAGTTGAGCAACAATTTTAGCGGTCCTGAGATTAGCCAATGACAAAACTAAGAATTTATTGCTAAAAAAGTAGTGAAGACCAAATATGTATCATCTTTTTAAATAGTTTCTTAGGTCATCAGGGTCCGTAATCGGTCTTTTTAAACGATGAAACAGACTTCCACTGGAGATACTCGTTCGAGAGATCAGTTTATGCCTAGCTAGTCGAACGAGTTAAATAGTTTTGTAAATATATGGTAAATTTTACGATAATTGTATGCGAGTTCTGAAAAACAATGAGATCCTTGATATTTAAAGGCGATTTATACGACATAAGTGTTTATTTTTCACTGCACCAACGAATACATGGTCCAGTTGAGTTTATATTGTTTGGATTTACCCTTTAATCCCCATTGCTATTGGTTGTGATATCAAAACTATTCATTTTGCTTTGAGGTGCAATAAAGCTCCGTGGTTATGCAACTTATGTTAACAACATTTCTCTTTCACCGCCTCAACCATTATATGTTTGACATCAAAGTGATGCGGATGTTTCACGTGTTGTGTATTTGCCTGACAAGATATTTGTCACCAGTACGCTCATTTATCCTCGTCCGGCTTTCTACATTAAAGTTGGGTTTTCAGGGTAATAAGTTAGAGCATAGATTGTGCGAACATTGTCTTAGAGATAACTTGAATACTGTTTCGTATCAACATTGGTCGATACTTATTTGCGTTTGTTGCAAAATTTGAAACTATTTGATCCAAGATTTCTGCTGTATATCAGTCGAGTCAGTGAGTTAATCATAAACACCATGAAACCTAGCACAAATACGCATTAATCCGTGTTGCCACATCGTAGTGCATTAAAATTAAATTATCAATAATATAAATAGGTTGGGCTGTCTGTAATGACTGGTTGATGTTAATTTATGGTTTTATTACGGTGAAAGGGAAATCAGTAGTTCATAACGAATATCATCATGTACTCGGAAGCTTCCTTCATCCTCCAGATTATGTGCTGAAAGCTTATTAAAACAAATTTAAGTAATGCTACTTCTAGCTCTACTGTTAACCTTATGTTTTAGTTAATATTCATTGTTTTCAGCAAAATTCACCAAGAAGATCCCAGGTTCCCAAGTCATGCTGGCTTGGATGACTGTGGGTTATTAATAGAGGGTTCTATTACTTCACCACCCACCTCTCCACCTCCTGAGAATCCTCAAGTACACCATATTTCCAAGTCCTCGGATGAAGAGGTTACTGAAGAAGATGACGAAGGTGAGGATAATAGTAGTGATGGGAGTGATGAACGACAATCACCAAAAGCTGATCATAGTATGAATCCAAATCCATTAATGAACAACTCTTGTGCAAGTTCGTGGCTTTTCAAAGCACAAAATTCATTGAATCTTCCACACACTCCTCCAATGCCGTTTCGTAGTTCTGTTTCCAAAACCAGGTTGGCTGACCAGTCTTTAACAAGTGCTCCTTTACTCAGTGTAAGTTTTTGATTTGTGTAGTTATCTCATTCGCCTTAGACATGAAATTACCTTTTCCTTGGTTAAAGTTCAAATTTGATTATGTGTTTAAGCGTATAAACTTTGTGTAGATGTGATTATCATGATCAAGTAAGAGCTAGGTTGCAGGTTACAAATTAAATACATGATTAGCCAAGCAGTAGTTTACTTCTACATGAAACACGGTAAATGTTATAACAAAGTTTCTAAAAATTAATAAAATTTTCTTTTGTAGGGTTTGTGTGGTAATCTTCTCTCTGCATACTCGAATAATGACGAAGATTACGACCAACTTAATCGATCGTCAGAAAACAAACATACTGATTCTAATACCCAAGTTAATTCCGATCACTTATCGTCTGTTGGATCTAGCTTCTGCTCTGAGTCGTCTGAGTGTTTACATGCTCTACCTGTAGAATCTAACCTACAAGAAAAACCATCAGATGCTTCACATAAACTCTCTTCAGTTGTACAAGATGAAATACAAGATAATTCTCTTCCATGGAATGAGGCGACTAAAATGCCAATCGTCAACTCAGAAACATTGGAAGACACGATAGATCAGTGTGATAAACCAGATGAAGTATCTAGCAGTGTTATTAAACCTTCAGTTTCCAATGTAAACCGAAATGATTCGCCTTCCAGAAGATTAGAGGTTAGTATCCAAATGAGTTTTGTGTAATATATGTATAATCAATTTGGGAACGCTAATCTTCAACTACTCTGTAGCAATATATTAAGTGAATATAGCAGGTTTCACCAACACTATTTTATTCAAGTTATCACTTGCAGATGCGAATTGTTAGTTTTTTTAACGAAACTCCTGAGTGATCTAGTAGCGATGCTATAAAGTCTAGAATGTTTTTTTGTTGGATGGAAACGTCTTATTACTAGCAATTTATGGATAGTGGTAAATTCGAAGATCACGCCTCAGTATTCACGTGCCCCCAAATGCCCTGGTACGGTCGAGAGTGAGTTGGGTTAGCTCTCCTCGAAATGCTCTCACATGGCCATGCGTATACAGCCACTACTAGGGAAGTCTTACTCACTACCTTCTCGTGGCGAGGGTGTTGTGTACGAAATTGAGAAGACGAAAAGCGAATGTCCGGCGCTTTAACCGGGTTGGTGAACATGTAGAGTCCACCTAGGGGAGTCGGAAAACCGTGATTCCAAACCAATGGTGCACATGGGTTCCAGTACCCTGAGGGAACAAATGGCGTATGAACCAATTATTGGTCACCGGTTACCATGGGACTGCATCTCCTTACGATGCTCCACTGCCTTGTGGATCAGACCTTCAGGTCGAAGGCTCGGTGTGTGGCCCCCTAAGAAAACCACCTGCTTCGGTTTGGGTACCCGGACAGTATCACAGCCCTCACACATATCAAATGAGATTTGTGTGGTGCATATGTATTTGGTGCCTCTTTGTACCAATATCTATGTGTTAAAATAAAAAAATATAGTACAGTATTCACGTTAGACATATAATTAATCAGCGACTCAGAGTTCTATACAGTTTATCTGTTTCCGCTCGTGTCCCGCCCTAGTAATACTGGAAATAAGTTAGCAAGTCTTAAGCTTTTGGATTCACATAAAAGCAATAAATTCCTCATCCATTATGAAAGTTTATGAATTCTAATACTTCACTGTTCGTCTTAAATCTTATTCGAATTCGGTGACGTTTAGTGGATGACAAAATTTTGCTTTGACTTTATAGCTCGACACAACTGGAGATGAAAGTGGTTTGGCTGGTTGTCAAGTTCTGAGACCTATTGGTCAACTTGAAGCATTTGTACAAAATTTAAATTCTGAAGTTTCTAGCTCAGTAACGTCTGTACCATTGCACAGTGGGTCTCCAAAATCCACAAGCGACCCATCTGCTCATTTGAGTTGTGTATCATCTATGGAGGACCTAAATCATCAGGTAAATCAAATTTATATTCCTAATTTTTATGTGTTTGGAAGATAGTTCTACTCTCGACAGCATGATTATCGTAGTTTAGGTAAAAAATGAGTCAGTAACCGAAAGATGACATCCTAGTTTATGTGAATTACCTCTTTCGTAAAATATCGGATTTAACCCCGACTAAGATTATCTTATTATATATCGTATAAATCAGATTATCTTTTTGAAATATAGTCACTTAAAAAGCTTCAGTGCATGTTTTCGAATCTCTGATGATCCTCAATTGTAAAAATCGCAGCAGCAAGTCTTAAAAGTCTAAGTCGTTGATCTAATTTACTGTAGTGTATGGTCATGAAACCTAATAAATACTTCTGTAAAGTACATTACTCCAGTTGGTTTGAAAGTCTTTGATTTTTCAGTTTCATTCTTACTGTAATAGTTTCTTCGTTAGCACCAAAAATTCATGTTAGATTTACTTAAATCTCCCAAAATAACTTGTAAGACCTATTATCTCTCATTTGTTTTTTGTAACTTTAGATTTCGTGTTTTTATTTTCAAACTGCCTGTTTTTTCTTAGCATTCATAAGATGTCCTCCTTATCAACTTGTTGATGTCTGTGTTATCTCGTCACCGTTTTCAAGAATATCAGTCCCTAAGTAGAATGTATGATTATGTATTTTCCATCTTTATTTCTGACGTTACTGACCTGAGTTCGGTTTAAACACAATAGAGTCGCATTACCAAAATTATCTGGTCATTGTATTTATAGACTGTTTTTATTTTCTAGGGATCAATTACTTCATCTAACTCACTCTTACCTGTTTTGGTTGGGGTTAGACGTCCCCGTTCACCAGGAATGGATTCTAGTGGTAGTGATCCTAATGTTTCAACAAGCAAAGATGCAGATTTGTCGGAAAGTCCCGCCAAAAGACGTAGACTTCCGTCTTCAGATTTAACTGAAACGGTAGAATCTAGTACAGATTCATTAGTAAGTTTTGGTCAGTGAATTGTGATACGATGTTTTGATAACTATAAATACAATAAAAGTTTGAGATTATGTCACTTTCTAGTTCCAAAGGTGATATATTTTCCATCTAATTCTTATTGTTTGCTTAGGTTCAGGCTCCCGGTGCAGTATTCCAGCCCTCACACATATCGAATGATTTGTGTGGCGCGTATGCATTTGGTGCCTTCTTGTATCAGTGTTTATGTGTTTAAATAATGATGGTAAATAAGTGATAATTAGTTACTTGAGATTATTTATTTTTACATTCGTTTATACACTTTTGATTATGAACCCTAATTTATATTATCTTTAAACTATTCTTAGTTTCCAAATCTGAAATGTTATTGCTGGCCATCCGTTCGCACCCAGTAATTTTTCTCCTGATATCGAAAAAATAGTTGCTGTGAAGATGACATCGTTCTTGCTATGTGTGTATTATCTAAAGCAGGTTGTTTAATTAATCAACTACCATTACAAATAATCTCTTATTAAATGAACATATGTTTCATTTCAAAACGGAAAACTATGCATGTAGCATCAAAACATCGACAAATCATAAGCATTTAAAACCGATGAACAAAGTTGGATTCAAGTTCACCACTCGGTTCTCTTTTGTTTTATTCAGATCTTTTATTTAAAATTTTATGAGTTGTTTTAATGTACTTGTGTAGTAGAAAAATAAATTCAGAGGATTTATTTTTTAGATTTCAGTCTATGATTATATAAAATAATAGTCTGGGAAATGTTAACATTTTCAAATTTAGCCATAAGTGCAAAGTTAATGCCATTCAGTATTTAATTATTTGAACACATGAATATTGGTACAAGAGAGCGCCAATATATATGCACCACACAAAACAATGAGAATACGAAGAGAAATAAATAAATTTAAAAAAAACTAAGGAGCGCAAAAGAGAAAAAGAAAACAATAACGAAGAGGTTGGTGTAAGGTAGTGTGGTAGTAACGAGGGAACGGAAAGGTACAATCAGAAGAAATCTTTCAGATAAGGGAGACACAACCACTTTTTATGAAGAAAGTAAAAGAAGGTTACAACAGGATCGCCATTGGCTTCTATTCTGAGCCATATCTGATAACGTCTCTAGCCGTTGTGTAGCACCATCTCTTAGACCCCAACCAGGGAGTCGTGAAGGACCGACAGAAGCCAGTCCTTTGCAGCTTTCTTTCATACCACGATACCATGTCATGCACTGACCACCTCTCCGCTTTCTCCAACCAGTCCCAGAGTCGGCAAATAATGCACGACGTGGAATTCTGTGGGACGACATTCGGAGAACATGTCCAAGCCACCGAAGTCGGTGTTTCAAGATGGTGACACCAATTGCATTATCGTCTCTGTGCCCGAACACACGATGCCGAACCTCTGCATTACTAACATGGTGTTGCCACTGGATGTCAGCAATCCTTCGGAGACAGCGATGATCGAACACAGAGAGTCGTCTAACGTCCTCAACTAGAAGAGGCCAGGTTTCACAAGCATAGAGCAGAACTGCTCTCACCGACGCGTTGTAGATCCGACCTTTTACAGCCAGACTAACATCACGAAGGCGCCAAAGGTGGCCCAGATTTGCATAAGCCGCTCTGGCTTTCACTATACGTGCATTGATCTCATCACTCACGCCACCACCAGCACTTATGCAGCTACCCAGATACATAAATTTTTCAACTACGTCTATCTGCTCACCATCCATGGTGAGTACAGGATTGGAATCCTGCCAGTCTTGTAGAAGTACTTTGCACTTGGAAGGTGCGAAGCACATACCATACCTACGAACACTGATTGCCAACTGATTAAGTGCGGATTGCATGCCTTGGGCATTATCGCACAGTAAGACAATATCGTCCGCATACTCAAGGTCGAGAAGTCTTTCTCCAGGCAACAGATCCACACCGCCAGTACTTACATCCATCAGAGCTGTTTCCAGAATGTCATCGATGGCAAAGTTGAAGAGGAATGGTGAGATTGGGCAACCCTGTCTAACCCCACTACTCGAATGGAACAATGGAGAAAGGTGGTTGTATGCCCTCACTCTGCCTGAGGTGTTTTTATATAGGGCTTTTAGGATGTTAATAAACTTCTCAGGCACACCCTTCTTCAATAGACAATCCCAGAGAATAATCCTGTCCAACGAATCGAAGGCAACCCTGATGTCAATGAACACTACGATTGTTGGCCTTTGATAAGTATGGCGGTGTTCTAACATTTGGCGGGGGGTGAAGATATGATCAATACATCCTCGACCAGAACGAAACCCAGCCTGCTCCTCGCGAGTCAATCTTTCTCGGGTTTTGAACAACCTACGAAGTATGACGGAAGCCAATAGCTTGGACGCAATCGGAAGTAGACTTATCCCCCGATAGTTGTTACAGGAACGACGTGAACCCTTTTTTAAGATAGGGACAACTATCGACTCATTCCATGACGTTGGTACACTCTCTAGTTCCCAAACCTTTGTGAACAACGCCTTTGACCCAAAGGTCTAACCCACAAGGCAGTGGAGCATCGTATGGAGATGCAGTCCCATGGTAACCGGTGACCAATAATTGGTTCATACGCCATTTGTTCCCTCAGGGTACTGGAGCCCATGTGCACCATTGGTTTGGAATCCGGTTAAAGCGCCGGACATTCGCTTTTCGTCCTCTCATTTTCGTAAACAACACCCCCGCCACGAGAAGGCAATGAGTAGGACTTCCCTGGCAGAAGCTGTATACGCGTGGCCGTGTGAGAGTATTTCGAGAGGGAGAGCGGACTCTCGATCGTACCAGGGCATTCGGGGGGCCATTCAGTAGGTATATTCTTATTGTAATCTATGCATTTGAGACTGTCTAACGTATTTATATCAATCTTTTTTTCGTTCCAACAGGTTGGCATTAGTTTCCAGATTGTGACTTCATCATCTTTGGCACTGAATGATTCTCCTCCCATTATTATGTGTAATCCTACGAATCAAACTCGTGATATGGATTCTGGTGAATGCATTTTCGAAGTCTCAGAAAATCCTAGTTCTGGTCAGTCTGTAGTCGATCCAATCTCAGCTAGTGATAACATATCTAACTTACATGAAGTAGTGAACATTAGTTTCGCACAAAATTCTGAGTCAAGTTCAGAATCTGTAGAAGGAAGTGAGACAGTTTTGATAAACAATGATAATATTGGTCTATCAACTGTAAACTTGTCGAATATTAATTCGGAAACCGGAGAGGAAGAGTCATAACATCTCTTTTTTAATCATAACTACCAATGTTTTCTAGAAAAATATTGTGGTTTCAAGAAATTTCATAAAAATACTTTTTAAGTGTATATCATATTACTTTTATTATCGTTGTAAAATTTTTGAACCTGCTTGCTGTTTTCAGATTTTCTGATTGTAATCGTTATTTTCAATATTATTTCGTTAGTCAAGCTTAATGCAGTGTACTATTCGTAACTATATGTCAGTCTTTAAAATTGATAGAGGGCAATCTCATTTATCGGTTATTTTGGTGTTTTAAGTGGCTTATTTTGTTTCTCATTGTAAATCTCACTCTTAAACAACTTGCATCGTTTAGTTTCGAGACGAAAGATGTTATCATTTGACAATTTGAATCTTATTTTACTTTTTGCCGACAGTCAATTTAATAACATTTTATCACACAAATTAAAGAGTTCCTGTCAGAACTGTAAGGGTGTACAAGTTTTATAATAAAAAAAGTGCTAGGTTATTGTCACCATTATTTTTGTATTTAAATTTTACATACTTGGGAGATGATCTAACTTAGAAAAAATCTTGTAAGCTAAGATTTTAGTTACTTGACACTTAAAAATTCATTTGGATTTCGAAACGTTGAAAAGTAAAGGCACCGATGTGTTTAGCCAATTATTTTTTTATTACGTTAGTTATATATATCTTGGGACGTGATATAAATGCGTGTCACTCCGAGCTATCACACCCTAGTAAAGCACAGAAAAATAAATAATTAACCAAAGTCGAAAATGCAGAGAAGTGACAATGATAAGATCTATTTCATTGAAAAATGAAGTACTAAGACATATAGTTCAAAACGAATAAATTAGGACGGTAAATGACGTAAACGCAATCCATACCACTCATTGTTTGAAGTTATAGATTATGGTTGTAGTTTTGACACCAACTAGTAAGTCGATATCTCCTTACACGGATCAGATCAGAATCCAGTGGCTCACCATTCCTAATTGGCTTCTGTCATATTTGCTTTTAGAAATAGAACTTTATGCATGATACTTCCCAGTTTTGTCTCAAAATAACCATCTAAAGTTGGCTCATGTTTAAAGATTCTTTTTGTCTCATAATATGTGGGTGTACGTTTCATATGTGGTAAATTTGAGATATTACATTGAAGACTATTCAACTTACAACAAATATTTAAGCATCAAGGAGAACGCATGTCAATTGCGTCAAGAAATAATAGAAGACAGTTATGAGTAAAAAGGAAATGGTCAAATAATATTACATAGATGTAACGTCCGTCGTATAATAGAAATTGCTCTAGGTTTATTGTGCTTTTATAGCATTATCTTCGTATGTATTGTGGATTCTTGCTTTGAGATTGAAAACATTTCAACTATTTGTAAGTTTGTATTATTCTATAAAAGCTCCCAAAACGGTTGTGTTTAGTAAATAATCATTCTTCACATGTGTTTATCATATCTGTTAAACGTGGTTGCTCCAAAATATGCTAGGAGTCGTATATCAAACTAGCTATATTTTTCTCCCTATTTCTCCACTCATAAAGCAGTTTTTTAATGATTGTAAAATTGATGTTCAAATTTGGGTGTCATTAAATATTTAAGAGTAATTTAACTGAACTTTCGGCGAACCAATGAGGTATAAGATAACTGATCTCAAATTTCGGCGCGACATTCACTCATCCATTTGGCTAAATAGAATTTTGGCTGGTGTCAGTTCGTGATGAAAACCCTAAATCGAATTCCTAACCCTAACCATCAACCGTAAATCCTAATTCTAATTCCTCACACAGGTTTATAACCCTCATTTGGTCTTAATCACTAGATGGGCACCCTCAGGGTCACTTTAACGTCGCTCAAATATCGTCCATAAATTCTAGTTTCACCGAACTTTCTAGTCAGCTCACGGTATGCTGTTAAATCAACTGCTCTCACTCACTGTAGGTCGAATCAATTTGATTATGAATGTAATTACAGTGCTGTGAATTCTTACATTTTTTTTAACCATTATGGCGTTTCCTTAATCTTAGTTTCTTAGTAAGATAGGTAGTATTAGACATAATTTCATTAGGAATGAAATCTCGCTTCGTCTCCTAAGTTTCCACAAACTGAGCACTATGTAATTTACATCGAATTGATTTTGGTCACTCCACCAAAATTCTCCGAAATCATACGGTCAGAATAATCGGTTCAAAGGGGATACAAATGGGGAACATATATATATATATATATATATATAAGAGGCTATAGCTATTTACCGACTCAGGCCTAAACTTTGTATACAAAAGCAGTTGATCAATCCCTCATTCTACCATGATCTTAACCTTCATTTCTGCATCCCATAGTATATCATTTTTCCTACTCCTTCCCAATTATTTTTCATAACTATCAATTAGTCATTATTACAACTTTCAATTATTCTTTTCTTAATATCCATCAAATGGTCAGTTATCTTCACCTTAACATTTCTCATTAGCCGTTGAATTGTTACATAACTTCCTTTCAATATCTGAGTTTTGTAAACAACTTGCGACGCGATACTAATTCAATTTGACATCACTGACTGACAACTTCTGGTTGTCGACTGCAGTCAATCCATGTTGTAAATTATCTTCAAACCAATATCATATGTTAAACATTTCAGGAATATGGTTTTTAATCAGTACCTATCTTCTAATAATGATTCATTGATTCCTATCCCAATGTTATTCATCCCTAATGATATTACATTGTTTAAAGAATACATTCATTATTTTTTAGTCTGGGATTTATCACCGTACTGGTAATTACTAAGCAATGAAGGCCTTCTGTATTGTGAATAGTTTCTACGACAGATATAATTTTTTCTTTGGTTTTCAAGGAGAACATGAACAAAGAGAATCAGTAAGTAACATCCAATAATGAGAGTAAATTAATTTGTTTATTGATAAATTTTCAAAATAAAACTTGACATCAATACACGTTTTATTGCCTCAGTGTTCGTATTGTTATTTTTCTATGACATAGATTACAATAAAAGTTTTAATCTCTTTGATTCCATGTTCCTCTGTGTAGTATACCAGCACAATTATTGCATTTAAAGCAAACTAAATGAAAGACATTAACTCTTGTTTCAAGGTGTTCTGCCGGATATGCTGGTTATGAACATGTTTCACATATTAAGAGTCCAGCCACCTGACCATCTGATAGTGATTCAAATAAACTGTGACAATTAGTGGAGGTATTGTGACTTTTGTTTCAAGTTGTGGATGATAATTACTGACTATATCTTTTAGTACAATGACTGAACTAAAATTGTTCAACTCGCACAAATTTCTTTTATCTTAATGCTCTTTCGATTATGATTCACTATTAGGGATAGTTTCTCTCGATTTATCACTAAGTATATCCTTGAAATTTGATAAATTGAATTGACGATGCTCTGGTATCTGTGATTGAAAATAATCGGATTGTGATATTGCACCAATCGATAGGAGGATTTCCTGATCTAAGTCAATTAATGTATTAAACACAAGGTTATGTAAATGTTACCAAACTGTCATTTCAGATACCGTAAGAGATTCTTTTGAAATTGACGCAACAATTCTATTCTGGTTATATACGTCAACAACCTGATCCTTATTATGATTTTTCATTGTTGTGTCTGTAGAATTGTTCATCATTTGGGCTTTGTTATTAATCGATTCAGTGGAGTCATCTTTATTTACCTCATTCGTTTCATTCAATGGAATAATTTTCAACTTATCAATTATATTATTCTCTTTTTGTGAAGCACCTTCAGATTGTGTCAGATTTTTTGTCTTTGTTTTATTAGACTTCAATGTTGAAAATATACTTGAATTTTTAACAGTTGAAGATTTATCAATTGCAGTCTTTCTTTTATATATTACTACCATTGAAGTAACTACTTCTATGAATTCAGTGATCATCTTGTTGTGCTGATGAGGTGTGGCAACTTGAACCAATGAATATATGCTCCTGGTTCTACGTTTTAGTTGACTTGTTGATGTCTATCAATAATATATCATGTGTTTGATGATAAGAATATTTGGCACATAGAGCAATCCTTTTGCTGTTTGTACGTTTAGTTATCATAGTTGGGAATGTTCTGTGAAAAGTGTGATCATTTAGTTTAGAGAAGGGTAGTTCTTTCAGTTGTTCTATAGGAGTTATTCGTTGATTATATAATGGACATCGTTTAGTATTACCATAATGTAAGTATGATTAGTATAATTGTTGACAATTTCTATGCTGTTGCTTACTCTTATCATATTTATTGTACACCAGTAAAGTTCCAAGCATTTGTAAAAAGATAATTATGCTTTTAATAATCGACTTTTTTTGTAATATAATCAGCTTGATACAATTATCAGTTTGTTTCAATTGAATAAAATAGTTTTTCTTGTACATATACATGAATCATACCAAATACAAATGAATTTCTTTATAGCAACTTATCCTTGTTATATAACGAACATTCTCAGCAAGTGGTAAACACCTAAGATTCACTAATTCAAATAAGATTGATTGATTTTTTTAAAATCACAGTTATACTACTGATTTTTATATGGTATTTAAGTGATTCATGTTAACTTCTATGATTTTGATGGTTGATAATGTATCACTTGATTAGAATTATGTCTAACTTTTTAAAATGTTTCCCACTTTTTATTGCCATCTGAAACAAATATAATTTATTTTAGCGGTTACTTCATTTTATGAAACTGTTCAATAAAACAAGAAAAATAATGATAAGTGAATATGTCAGTTAGTTATGCATGTGCCCCCGAATGCCCTGTTACGGTCGAGAGTGAGTTGGGTTAGCTCTCCTCGAAATGCTCTCACATGGCCATGCGTATACAGCCACTACTAGGGAAGTCTTACTCACTACCTTCTCGTGGCGAGGGTGTTGTGTACGAAATTGAGAAGACGAAAAGCGAATGTCCGGCGCTTTAACCGGGTTGGTGAACATGTAGAGTCCACCTAGGGGAGTCGGAAAACCGTGATTCCAAACCAATGGTGCACATGGGTTCCAGTACCCTGAGGGAACAAATGGCGTATGAACCAATTATTGGTCACCGGTTACCATGGGACTGCATCTCCTTACGATGCTCCACTGCCTTGTGGATCAGACCTTCAGGTCGAAGGCTCGGTGTGTGGCCCCCTAAGAAAACCACCTGCTTCGGTTTGGGTACCCGGACAGTATCACAGCCCTCACACATATCAAATGAGATTTGTGTGGTGCATATGTATTCGGTGCCCCTTTGTACCAATATTTATATGTTCAAACAAAAGAAGCTATGGATTTATGAATTTAAAAAACAGTTTCACATATATTCCGAAGCATAGCTTGATGAGTTCACTACTTGTTATTGCTAGAGAAAATGATTTCCAATTTGTTTGATAAGCAAATTTTCAGTCAACTACATGCAAACAATGAGCGCTTAGTTTATGATACCTATGTATTCAGTCATTATCTTAATAACTAAAGCAAATAAGATA